AGCACCTTCCATGTGCCCAAGGACTACAGATCAGTAATGGGACCCTAATAGATAAGTTCCGTCTTCATAAGGATGAAAAGAGTGGCCAAAGACCTCAGAACATGTCGCCACTCAAACATTCCTGTCAGGTTAATGTGGCTGCCTCTTTCCACCTCGGCCCTCCCTCATCCCATGCTTTGGTCCAGCATAGTGGCCACTGATCTTATCATCCAACACCAGTCCCTCAGGTACTGCGCTTCCAAGTCTATGTCCCACGGCAACCTCTCCTGACACCACCTTCCTGTTCCTGGCTGCTCTCCCAGGCTGCAAACATGTCTCCTCCCAGCGCAGAAGGGACACTGGACAAGGGTGGCTCCTCAGCGTCTGCCTCAGGGAACACCCAGAAGGCAAAGAAATTTACATTTGATTCATTCTCTGTTCCAGCTAAGAATTAACACACAGCACTATAGTAATCTTAACTTTGTTAAATGTAAGTTTGATTTATTTTCATAATTTTGTGCTTTATTTTTTTAAGATTTACACTTTTAGTCCCTGGCACAACACGGATTTGATTTAAGTGGTGTGTTTATCCAGGACTAACGGTCTTCAGAGAGGATCGATGAGAGCCAGCAGAGGAGGGGATTATGACCCTAGAACTCAGGGCCTATGTCAGGGGAAGCCCTGGGACAATGAAGGGCAGGGTCATTGTCCCTCAGCTCCTGCTGCCACCCCAGGGAGCCCTGGAACCTGGCCAGTCTCAGGCCTATCAGGGAAGCTTTTCTTGAGGTTGGTCCTCCCTGGTCAGGAGACTCTTCCTGAATAACTCCAGCCCTGCAGAAGGAAGCAACAGCCACACCACCATAAAATGAGTAGAGCGGGGTGATTTAAACCTGAGGTCTCCTTTACCTGGGAAGCCCTGGTCATTCCTCTCAGCCATGAAATGCCCCTTTCCTACATCCTCCCAGGCTATCCTAGACCAGAAATGGCCAACACAAGGTATGGGTGCCCCTTGGCCTCTCCTTCTTCAGGGCAGCCACTGTCATTGTGGTTCTCCCCCACAGGGTGGTGGGGTATTTTATGTGTCAACTAGGCTAAGCCACTGTACGTACATGTTTGGTCGAGCATTATTCTGGATATTTCTGTGAGGGTATTTTTTGGATGAAATTAACATTAAGAGGAGTAAACTCTGAGGAAAGCAGATTAACCCTCCATAATGTGGGTGGACTCCGTCCAATCAGTTAAAGGCCTGAACAGGAAGACTGACCTCCTTGGAAGAAGAAGAAATTCTGCCAGCCAATAGCCTTCAGATTTGAACTACCTCCCTGGGTCTCTATCTTGTTGGCCTATCCAGTGGATTTCAGACCTTCTGGGCCTCATAATCACGTGAGCCAATTCCTTAAAATATACCCACATATATATACACACACACATGCATACACACACACTCTGTTTTTGAGGAGGACTCTAATACATCTAGTAAGCCAGACAACCTTAGAATCTGTCTCAAGACAGCCCTCCAGGGAGAACTCCCAGTTAGCAGGCAAACTGAATCCACTGACGTAGAGCTGTGAGTGCATCTAGCAGTTGGTGCTGTCCCTGGCACAGTATAGAGGGCCAAGTTCACGCCTCCATGTCCCTGCACTCCAGGTTCCTTTGAGAACTAGACAACCACCCTGCACCCCAGATGTCTTCATAGGATCTGCCTGGCTCTAACTAGCCCTTGTTCCCCACCCTTTATTCCCCCTGAAGAGAAGGGTGGTCAAGGAGGCTCTAAGTGCTTCTTCTCCAGTAAACTAAAACCACAAGAAAAGCCCACTACAGATGGGAACCATCAAGGCCATTGAACAGCACTGAGATCAGAGCCAGGCTGGTAGTTGCCAGAGGCGGAGGCAACAGGGAGACACGCAGCTGCCCACAGGTCTTCCAGGGGATAACATGGTATCTACCAGTGGTCACTACGAGTAAAAAACTCTTCTGGATAGACTCCAGAATGTAGGAGTCTGAGCGACACAAGACTGTAACTGTGTTTAGTTTGAAACTGCTGTCGCGAGGCAAAAAGAACCCAGAGAGAACTCCGCGCATACTTGCCAGCTTGACATACGGAGCTTGAGAAAGGGCAGGCACGCACCTTGCGCCCTCACTTGTTGATCACGTGATTCTGAGCCCACTACACCTTCTAGAGCTTCCACTTCTTCATCTACAAAGAACACCTACTTGGCAGGCTCACCATGGCACATCACAGGCCTCCCCATGTGGGTATTGTTATGAGAACTAGGGAGAGTGGTGGTTCTAGAATCCAGGAAAGGTAGGAGAGAAAATGGAGCGGAGCAGAGCCAGAGGGCCAGCCCTGGGGACCTGGCCCAGTAGCTCAGCCACTGGAGAGACAAAGGGGCCGACCCTCTTGCTCGCCACTAGAGAGACAAACGAAAAGGAAGGACAAGGTAAGACTGACCTTGAGGGCAGGAATCTCCACACTGTCACCGAGGCTGATGGAGCCTGAGAGGATGGTCCCTGTCATCACAGTGCCTTGGCCTTTGATGGAGAAACAGTGGTCCACAGACATGAGCAGCGGCCCTGAGGGGTCTCTTCTCGGGATGGAAATCTGCGACGTCAGGAGCTAGAAAAGAGACGTCGCGTGCTGGTGCCATGTGCTGCCAGGGAGGGGAGCTGAACAGGGCGGGGCAGAACAGGGCTGAGGGTGAGGGTAGTCCTTGGGTAAGCTGGCCCCGCTCGGAAGTGGACGGGTCCCTGGTGGCACTCCAGACTTTCATCGTGCCCTTGGCTCCTCTGGGTACGAAGGACAAGGGCATCTGGAGAAACCTCCTCTCTGCTCTCGTTGGGATAACCAACAGGCTCCCAAAAGGCCGGCCTCGGGACCCTCCTCTGCACTGCAGCAGCAGCGGCAGCCTGCTGCAGGACAGCCTGAGGCACATCCATCCGACCTCGCATGCCTTCCCAGCCTTCTGAGCCTGCAGGATTTGAGATGTGTCATCGGCTAGCCCCTAGGTACCATGGAGGCCTCATCCCCCACCACGTGGCCTCTCACAGCAGGAACCAGCCACTGGCAGGCCCTGGAAGCTCCCCAGCCAGCTTTGCCTCCCCTTCTCCGCAGAGACACCGCCTCTGGGAAGGCTTTTTTGCCCCTTCTGTACGGCTGTGCTCCCTGCCCCCATCACCCGTTAACACACTGTTGTGAGCTTTTGTTTATTTGTCTCTCTCCTAGGGCCATGAGTCCTTCCAAGGATCTCCAGCAGCTGGCATGGTGCCTAAGAGAAGGACAAGCGACCAAACGACCCGGGTGAGCAGGGTTGCTGCCATGTATGGCAGGGCAGGAGGGGGTGAGGCCACAGCTCCAGGCCGAGGCAGAGATGGGGGACCACCTGATGTCTGCCAAGGGCCAGTGTTGCCCTCTCAGTCTGTGGTGCTGCTGCTCCTTTTCCTTCCACGCACTTCCACCACAGCCAGCCCATTTTCCTCATGCTGACTATGTGCTCTTAGATGTCAGAGCTAATTCCCAATAAACAAATGAAAATAAAGACCACATTATTCCTTTTATTTTGAGGCTTTCGGATTTCGTTCGGAAAGAAGCTGTCAAAAAGTATTTGGCAGTGAATGTTCCAAACTCTCAGCCTTGTGATAACAATTCTTCTGGGAAAAAAACTACAGTTTCAAAACAGGCTTGGCCTGGGATTTATGCAGAGGCTTCTTAAAGGAATACACAAACATCTTCCATAGCAGTGTTTGTGAATTTTGCTTTAGTAAAAACAACTATCCAAGGCTCTTAGATCAAGAGCTCTCAGAAGGAGAGGAAAAAAGTAGCAAAAGCCTCAGCCAGGAAAGGCCTGTTCTGCTAAGTCGGTCAGAGCAGCACCGTGTAATCACAGAATCAGTCGCAGTGCACACGATCGCATCTGTTCTCAGCTCTGTGGGTCCAGGTATCAGGGGACCCCAAAGACACCCCAGCAACTGATCTGGGGCTGAATGCCAGCTCCACCACATACTTGCTGTGAGACCTTGGGCAAGTTACTTAACTTCTCTGGACCTCAGACGCCTCCTTGGTACAATGGGGATAAACAACGTTAGCCTCCCAGCACCACTGTGAAAGTTCCCTAGTCCTTGTGAAAGGCACATAAAGAACAGTACAGCTCCTGGTAATGTGATAAGCACCATCGCTATCACAGCAAACTCTGATACAGCACCGTTCTGAGCACAGGACACCTACTAACCTCATCTAACCTGCACGCCAACTCCACAGCTAGTGTTCTTTTCCTGACTTTACAACTGAGGGGACAGAAGTGAGAGAGAGCAGGTCACATGCTAGGTGAGAGAGAGCAGGTCACGTGCTTAGAGCCACACAAAGAGCAGGTGGTGGGCCGAGGATCCAGCCCACAGTTGCCACGCCACCCTTTTGAGCGAGGGACACTGGTCTCCATTGTCACGGCCTCACAGCAGCATCACCACCCACCCCCACCCCTGCCCCGTCTTCTGGCTGCCCTGGGCACCCTGTGCTGGCTGGGCTCCCGGCCGTACCTATCACCACTGAGCCTGGAGGAAGCCCGTGCCTCAGAAGCACCGTTATTTCAGGGAGCCCACAAGGCCCTGAGCCTCGCTGCTCTGCTGCTGAGCCCGTCTCCATCAGCCAGTGGGACACAATGGGGCACTGGCCCAGTCTGAAGGCCTGGAACGGAAGACAGGGCCCAAAGCCCCAGGAGGCAGGAGCTGCTCTAAGTAGGGGTGTTTGACACGTTCTTTTGAACGACTTATAAGGGTGTGGATAGCTCAGCAGGACCTTGGGCTAGAGAGTGAGGCCTCTGCTTCTATTCTGGTTTCACTCTAGGATGGGGGTGAGGGAGGGTCCGCTAAGGTATGTAGGTGCCTGGGGGAGGTGCGGTGGGACTTGAACAGCTCAGAGTCTTCTTGCTGGGGTGCCTCCCCCTTCTCTCCGTTTCACACTTAGCAGGACACAAGGGGCCTGAGTGGGGCTGGGGCCACAGGCCAGCCTGGATTCAAGCTGACAGTACCTCAATGAGCTCTGAGATGCCCTGTGGAGCTTCCGTTTCAGGGGCCTCTGGCCCCCCAGGCTTGGCCGCCACGGGTATAATCGGTGCACCTCGGAACCTGAAATGGAAAAACAAGCCCTGCCGAGTTACAGAGATCATCAGCACGGATGAGCAGCAGATGAGGAAACGGAGGCCCCACAGGGAAATCCTAAGGATGAATGATAAAATTTAAGAGGGTGCTCCTAGGTTTTAACCTCCACTTTCACAACCCACTCTGAGGAGGCAGTAGTGAACCCTAGCCCCCAGGACTCTGAATAAAAGACCCCCTTGAAGAAGTCCAGTAAGTACATCCCAGCCTCCTGCAGAGACTCAGGAAATACTGGTTTATCAAAAAAATCTCTGAAAGGGCACTTGGGTGGCTCAGTTTTTAACTGTCTGCCTTCAGCTCAGGTCATGATCCCAGGGTCCCAGGATCGAGCCCCACATTGGGCTCTCTCCTCAGCGGGAAGTCCACTTATACCTCTCCCTCTGCCTGCTGCTCCCCCTGCTTGTGCTCCCTTTCTCCCCATCAAATAAATAAATCTTGGGGGGAAAAAAAAAAAGTCAAGTCCCTGAAGACGCACCTGGAAAACATACTTCTATCATACCAGCGTCTAATGGCAGGTAATCCTGCCCCGACCCTCCTGAAGAGCTCCTCCTTCTTTTATTTTTCATTTATTTATTTATTTATTTATTTTTTTTGAGATTTACTTATTTTTTTGAGAGAGCACAAGCAGGAGGAGGGGCAGAGGGAGACAGAATCCTCAAGCAGACTCCCCACTGATCACGGAGCCAGATGCAGGATGCCAGGACCCTGAGATCATGACCTGAGCTGAAACCGAGTCAGTCACTTAGCCAACTGAGCCACCCAAGAGCCCTAAGAAGAGATTCTTACTATAAGTACACTTTTATCTTTTCCATTGATTAAAAAAATAAAATAAAATGGAAAAGAGAAAATATACAACCCATAATTCTACCATGTATTATAAAGAATTTTCTATTGAATGATAGCAACAACAGTGATATAATGGCAAATAAACTATAAGGATGTGAAATTTCACGTATGCGATAACCAAAATAAAAAAAGATCCCTTGGCAATGCATGGAAAAACCAAGGTTAGAAAAAAGGGCACTACAATGGCAGGAATATGGGTTGTATATTCATCCTCTAGGTGCTAGCAATGGCTGAGCCAAGCATATCACCTGGACACCTTCTGTGAAAGCTCTCAGCACTATTACAGAACTGCCACCATTTAACAGATGAGAAATTGAGGCTTAGAGAGACGAATTAATTTGCTACAAGTCATTTATTATAATCTCAGAACCAAACTCTAACCCAGCCCATCTCAAGGGTCACAGCTTCCATGTTATAATCCTACTGCCCAGGCCTCCTCTTTCATTTATACAGCTGCATTACAGCGTGACCCAGAATGTATATGCTTTTCCCCACTAATGTTACTCATTTAGAACATTTTGAATTTTTCACGATCATAAATAACACTGGTAAACATGATGGTGGACATATGACTGGCTTTTTCTTCCCTTGCTTTGGGATTAATTCATGGGGTATAAGCCTAAGACTCAACATACATTGAAAAATCAGCAAAATGGTGGAATAAGGACAATCAGACTCTCCTCTGTAAAATAAAGAACATAGGCAAAAAATCATCAGAAGCAACTATTTCGGAACTCTAGAAATTAACTAAAGGTTTGCAGCAATCTGTGGAATGTTTATTCAAGAAATATGGCTGAATCTTGGTAAGAATAAAAGAGCTTTGTGGCATTTTAACTTGCCTTATTCCTATCCATTCTTCCCCAACTCTGCAGCAGCCCTAATAACCAGCATCTGCAATCAGAATGGAAGCCAGCAGCCTGACAGCCACTGAGGGGGCAGAATGGGTCTGAGTTCCATCAAAGCCCTTTTCATAGAGAATTGCCATTATTTTTCCTTTCCTTCCTTCTTGGAAGACTCTACTAGCAAAGTTATCTTTATTTTTCCTTAAGGGCACTTGTTGAAAACAATCAGAGGCAATTGTTTAATACCACAGCTGCCTGAGGGAGGATAACAGTTTGGGTAAATCGGTGGACCAAACAGCTTAGAAGGGCTTCCATGGGAGCTTTGGAAAACCTTCCATGAGAGGTTTGGAGGTTTCCTGGGAAACTAGAAGGCTATTTATGGGCAAAAGCATGGTACATGGTTAGGAAAGACATGAGAAGGCCCTAAGTTCTTACCTCTGGCTGACCTTAAGATTCGATGCAAACAGGAAGTGAAGGCCAAGGCAGAGTTGCCAACTGCCTGCCTGAGTACTGAAAGCATGCCCCAATATGCACAAAGAGATCCTTGTCAAAGATTGGGAGACTTACTGATTCTAGGCATTAAGAAAAGCTCTAATCATTAGCTGACCACTAAACTGAGCAGAGACTTCAGTGGTCACAAATGACTTTCAAAATTACCTCACAAAAGTAATTTGTGTAATACTAACCAAATTAACAACAAACTATGAAAGTACGGGTAAAGAAGAGAATCTGATGGCCAGAATGGCCACATTATATTCTTGTGTAAGTACAGTTTTCAACAAGGAATAAGAATACAACAAAGAAACAAAAGTATGGTCCATACACAAGAAAAAAATGGAGTGTAATAAAAATTGTTCCTGAGAAATCCCTACTAGACAAAAGTCTTAAATCAGCTATTTTAAATTTGTTCGAGAAATAAACCATGTCTAAAGAGCTAAAGGAAAGAATGAATATAATGTGTCACCAAAGAGAAAATAACAAAAAAGTTAGAAATTATAAAAAAAATAGAAATTTTGGATTTGAAAAATACAATAACTAAAATGAAAAATCTGCTAGAGGAGCTTAATAGCAGATTTGAGCAGGCAGAAGAATCAACAAACTTAAACAATTTGGTTTATGTAACCTAAGGAAATTCAAGAAAAATGAGAGAAGAGAAACGAACACAACCTCAAAGATATGTGAGACATCAAGTACATCAACAGGTGCATATTGAGATGTCCAGAAACAAAGGCAAGATGGGATGGCAAGATCCGAATAAGCTTCAAAAACTTCCAAAGTTTCTGAAGGACATCTAAAAAGCTTAGAAAATTCCAAGTAAGAAAAACTCAGAGATGTGACCCAGGCACACCATAATCAAACTGTCAATGGCCAAAGACAAGGAGAAAGCAACAAGAGAGAAGTGGCTCGTTTAGCACAAGGCATCCTCAAGTAGAGTAACAGCTGATCTCTTCAGAAACCATGGAGCCAATACCAAATACCTAAAAACAAAACAAAACAAAATAAAAACAAAAGCAAAAAAACCCTATCATATAGCAGACACTTGATAGGTATTTATTAAATAAACAAATAAATGAACAAGTTAAAAAAAGAAAAGAAAAAAAGAAACCATGGCAGCTAGAAGGTAATGGGATGACATATTCAAATTTCTGAGAATTTAAAAGAAGAAGAAGTCGTCGTAGTAGTAGTAGTAGTCATCGTCGTCGTCAACCAAGACTTCTGTTTCTGCCCCCACCGCCGCAAAAAAAAGCTTCAAAAATGAAGAGGAATGTAAAATTACCATATGGTCCAGAAATTTCTTGAGTATAAATCCAAAAGAATGGAAAATAGGTACTCAAACAAATACATGTACATGTATGTTTACAACAGCACTACCCACTAAAGCCAAAAGCTGGAAACAGCCCAAATGTCATCAACACCATAAGTGAAAAAGCCAGACATAAGAGATCACCTATTGTGTGATTTATATGAAATATCCAACATAGGCAAATCCATAAAGACAGAAAACAGACTGGTGGTTCCCAGGGCTGAGAGAATAGGAAACAGCTGCTAAATGGGTACAGGGTTTTTGAAATCAGATAGTGGTGATGCTGACATAATTCTGTACACATTAAAAGGGTGAATTTTACGGTATGTGAATTATATCTCCATTAAAAAGAAAAGAACATACATTGAAAGGTTTGCTACCTTTTTTACTACCACAGTGATTATCTGCAATGTCTTTTTCACTAATCATACACCAAAAGCTCCTTATTTTTTATACATACCTCATTTTAATTTGTATTTCCTTAATAAGCCATACAATGTTGAACATCTTCCATCTGTTTATTTACTAAGTGTGCTTTTAGTGAATGTTTCCACACCACTTTACGTTCTGGTCTTTGCTTCCTCCAGTAGGTGCACCCTTACCCTCCCCAGACTCTAAAAATTGCTCTGCAGTCCACTGTCCCAACACAGTGGGAGTGAGGGAAAGGGACGAGGTCAAGGGCCAATGGTACCAGCACCTGTGCTGCGGGGCCTTGCACTCCTCATTTCAACAACCCCACAAGGTGGCTGTTATTACTGCTCCTCCGGGTTTACAGAAGGGAATCCTAAGTTGTCTAGAGTCTGTCATTTGCTCCAGGTCACATAGCTAATGAGTGGGGGGCTGTGATTAAAACCAACTCTGGGTTTACCACCCACCTGAAAATATCAAGTGAGTTAGAGTCAGGGTCGTATGCCTCTTCTTGAATCCATGAGAATTTGGAAAGTGGCTGATCTTCAAAGATCAGGCAACATAACATATTTAAGTCCTATAAACAGTCCTATAAACAATATCCTTGCCCTTTAGTAATTTTAGTTCTCAAACCAATGAAAGAAAGGTGATAGCTATAATGACAGTATTCAATATTCTCATAGTTTGCCATCACTTTCAAATAAAGACATAAATTTACTGCATCCTTCAAACAAGCCTTGGAGGTAGGAAGAACAATTGTTAACATTCCCACAACATTAGTTGAACATGATGTGAATGGCACTTAGTTAAATGCTTCCATCATCCCATTTGATCCTCATGGTAATGATGTGAGGGATAAAACTGGCATTTTAGAGATGGGGAAACTAAGGCACAGAGAGGTTAAATGACTTCTAAAGGGCAGAATTAAGGAGCTCTGTTCCAGAGCTCTGTCCTTCCCACCATGCTGGACATCCCCAGGACGACCTCCACAAAAGCCAGAGGGTTCCCTCCTCGGGGAATGGCTGCTGTGTCAGATGTCACCATGGCTCCTTTGAAACATAAGAACAGAA